GCCAATTAGCTGGACAAGGTTAAAGGCAAGCAGAACTTTTCATCGACTTCCCAGGTACTGCTGGAGATATTTTAGGAAATTCTGTTTTGAATATCAGGGGATCAGTCTTTAATTAATTAATGGGCTATGTTTATAATTCAGTATATTAATAACTCAGAACTTCAGTAGATTCCATATTTAAGAGAATTTTTTCAACAAAATCCCTTTTATTTTTACTTGGGAAAATATTAACTGTACTGGGTTTCTGTTTTCTGCTGGTGAATTTTGCTTAGTCCTTTCGATTGTTTTGGAAGTCTGAACAGTAAAGGTTTTCCCTGCCCTCCTAGCTCCCCGGGCCTATCACTAGCACTTTAGGAGGGACAAACAAAATCAATCAGTTCATAGCCAAGCTCTGCGCACACAACTCATGCACAGCTTCCCCAGGGCCTGCAGGACGGATTTCCCTCTTATACCCAAGAAACCCGAGAACAGTGGCATCCAATTACAACTTTTCCTTTCAAAAATGGGATACTAAGATGTTGGTTTTCTCTGTCTCTCGGGGAAAGTTGAAAATTTTTCTTCTTTCTCCTTGCTGTAATTTTATTAATTACCTTGTGGAATAAAGGAATAGTCCAAACTTTGATCTCACAACGACGACAGGGTAACAAGTTACGTTTTTCTCCTAGATGAAGAAAAGATTGTTATAAAAGGTCTAAGAACCATTTGAGGCCTGAAGGAAAAGATTTTCCAGTGCACTTTGGGAACCACCATCCAGGAGGATAGAGGTTTTAGCCCATGGTTCAGAGATTATGTACACCAGGCAAACCTCCCAGGAGATACGACCAGCATCAAATGCTAGGATGCATAGTAAAACCTCCAGTGCAGTGCTTCAGATGGCCCCTGCCAGTCAGGAGCCCGACCCTGGGCTGAAGTCCTGGCTCTACTGTTCATTAGATCTTGGCAAGTTACTTAAACTCTCTGTAACTTGATTTTCCAGTGGAAAATACCTAACTCGTAAGATTACTGTCAGGACGTGATGACTTAATTGAGGTTCTATGCTTACGTTACTATTTGGCAAATTGTAAGTAAACTTAGATATTATTATAACTATCTCCAGTGACATCACCGCCACTGTCCTCTAACCCTTACCTCTAGCTATTAGTCCTATGTTATTCAGTCCTTTTAGA